AGGTCATTTCCATTATCACCACTGTTATTCAATATCATACTGGAAATATTAGCTTTGGCAATAAGAGAAGAAAAAGAAATTGAAGGTATTAGAATAGGCAAAGAAGAAACAAAGCTATCACTCTTTGTAGATGATATAATGATATACTTAGATAATCCTAGAGAATCAAGTAAAAATTACTTAAAATAACAAACAACTTTAGCAAAGTTACAGGCTATAAAATAAACCCACATAAATCATCAGCATTTCTATATGTTATGAACAAAGCCCAACAACAAGAGACAGAAAGATAAATTTCATTTAAAGATACTGTAGACATTATGAAATATTTAGGTCTACCTCCTGAAACAAACCTAGGAACTATATGAACACAATTACAAAACACTTTTCACACAAATAAAGTCAGATCTAAGTAACTGGAAAAAAATCATTTGCTCATGGGTAGGCCAAGCTAAAATAATAAAAATGACAATTCTACCTAAGTTAATTTACTTATTCACTGCCATACCAATCAAACTACCAAAATTATTTTATAGAGTTAGAAAAAACAATAACAAAATCCATTTGGAAGAACAAAAGGTCCAGAATATCAAGGGAACTAATGAAAAGAAATGGCAGGGAAGGTAGCCTAGCCATTCCAGATCTTAAATTGTATTATAAAGCAGCAATCATCAAAACTACTTGGTGTTGGCAAAGAAATTCAGTGATGGATCAGTGGAATAGGTTAGGTATACAAGACACAGTAGTCAATGACTATAGTAATCTACTATTTGATAAACCCCAGCTTCTGGGATAAAAACTCATTCTTTGACAAAAACTGCTGGGAAAACTGGAAAAGAATATGACAGAAACTAGGCATAGACCAAAATCTCACAACATATACCAAAATAAAGTCAAAATGGGTTCATGATTTAGATATAAAGACTGATACTATAAGCAAACTGGGAGAGCAAGGAATTAGTTTACTTGTCAGATTTATGGAGAACAGAAGAATCCATGACCAAACAGTACATAGAGAACCTTATGAAATGCAAGATGCATAATTTTGATTAGATGAAATTGAAAAGTTTTTGCACAAAGCCAATGCAACCAAGATTAGGAGGGAAGCAGAAAACTGGGAAAGAATTTTTACAACCAAGTCAAATTTAGAAGAATACAAATCATTCCCCAATTGATAAATGGTCAAAAGATATGAACAAGCAGTTCTCAGACAAAGAAATTAAAGTCATCTATAGTCATATGAAAAATGCTCTAAATCAGTATTGGTTAGAGAAATACAAATCAAAACAACTCTGAGGTACCACATCACACCTATCAGATTGGCCAACATGACAAAACAGTAAAATGATAAATTTTGGAGAAGATGTGGGAAAATTGGAACACTAATGCCTTGTTGGTGGCATTGTGAAATGATCCAACCATTTTGGAGAGCAATTTGGAACTATGCCCAAAGGGCTATAAAAATATGCATACCCTTTGATCCAGCAATAGCATTTCTAGGGCTGTTTCCCAAAGAGATCATAAAAATGGGAAAAGGACTCACATGCACAAAAATATTTATAGCAGCTCTTTTTGTGGTGGCAAAGAATTGGAAATTGAGGGGATGCCATCAATTGGGGAATGGCTGAACAAGTTGGTTGTGGTATATGAATGTAATAGAATACTATTGTACTATAAAAAATGATGAGCAGGCAGACTTCAGAAAAAAGCAGGAAAGACTTATATGGGCTGACGCTGAGTGAAGTAAGCAGAAACAGGAGAACATTGTACACAGTAACAGCAATGACTAACATTGATCAACTTAGCCCTTCTCAGCAATGCAAGGATCTAAGACATCTCCAAAGGTCTCATGATGGAAAGTGCTACACATTCAAAGAAATAACTGTGGAGTTTGAATGCAGATCAAAGCATACTATTTGCTATTTTTTTCTTCTGTTGTGTTTTGTTTCCTCTTTCTGGTGGTTCCTTCTTTTGGTTCTAATTCTTCCTTACAACATGACTAATGTGAAAATATGTTTAACAAGAATGTATATGTATAGCCTATATCAGACTGCACACCATCTTGGGGATGTAGGGAGGGGTAGAAAAATTTAAAATTCAAAAGCTCATGGAAGTAATTGTTGATAAATAAAAATAAATTAATAAAAAATACGTGAAGCCATCCCTTCCCTCAAGAAGCTTCTTGTTGTTCAGTCATTTCAGTTGTGTCTGACCTTTTATGACTCCATTTGAGGTTTTCTTGGAAAAAAAATAGTGGAATGGTTTGGTATTTCCTTCTCCAGTGGATCTATTTTGTCAGGCAATCAGAGGTTAAGTGACTTGTCCTGGATCATACAGCTAGGAAGTGTCTGAGGTTGGATTTGAACTCAGGTATTCTTGACTCCAGGCCCAGTACTTTATCCACTAAGCGACCAGCTGCCTCCAAAGGAGTTTATATAACATGTTTACATAACCATAAAAATGCCACATGCCACTTTTGTTCTTAAAAGTTCAAATTCTATTTTGATTTGGCAAACACCACCCCCCAAAAAAGAACTTCATTTAAAGGCTAAATGGCCCATTGCACCAAAAAAAAAATGAGAAAAAGTAAACTTCAACTAAATTATGGAAATGTATTATTTTTTTAGATTAATTAGACTTTGTATATATGTATTTTGGTTTGCAAAAGAAAAATTGTTACTTTTGAAATTAGTTATTTAAGATATAATTCTATGATCCTTTTTCACTAGGATAATTTACACTACCATTTAAATAGCTATTTTCTTCAATACTAGATGTCACAAGGGAAATTACCATAAATAAACACAAACACACTCACTTTCTCACTAAGATGAGCTCAAAATGATGGTTATGAGATACTGAACATTGCCCTTTAAATTAATTGACAAATTTTAATTTTATGCAAGTGTGTGTGTGTGTGTGTGTGTGTGTGTGTGTAGCTAAGAGTTTCTTAATTAAATAACAATCCTGTCCTGTATTGTGCATATCAGATATAACAACAATAGTTATCCTAGATTATTGTTTTCCTGATTTACCAAGAATGTATTTAGAGTCAGAGAACCTGGGTTCTAATCTTGATTTTCACAAATATTCTGTGACCTTGCCTCAGTTTCCCCATATATAAAATGAGAGAGTTGAACTAGATGACTGTTAATGTGCTTTGCCATCCTAAATCTATGCTATTCTAAGCATCAATTTATAAACCAGAACAGTAAATATTGTCCCTAGTTGTCAGAGTGGAAACTCCCCAGAGTAGCAGGTAGAAGCTTTAGAAGAAATTTAGAAAAAAGGAAAAAAAAAGATAGTATTTGGTGGGGGTGAATAGAAGAGTTTTTGGTTTAAGAATGCTGAGTATAGTTTTTACCACTGAATATCTTGTCATCTCTCTTCACACATTATCTGTTAATAAATTGAAGAAATTGGAAAATATGATTTCTAAAGGTTCCATGGATATACTTTTTTGAGATACTATGTTTGTGTTTCCTCTATTGCAAGCCCAGCATTTTGCAAGAATGCTTTTTTTTCTTTAAGCAAAGAACAGGAAATGTATATATGTTATGATGATGACTCTTCTATAAACACCTTTTAATCTCATAGATTTTTGGTTTGGGAGGGTTAGGGTTGGGGGAAAAAAAAACATCTTCAAGCTTCAGTTACATTGCACAACTAATGGCTTTCTGTTGGCAACTGTGAAAGAACTTTTTGACCCTAAAAAGGGAGAAATATCTTTCAATGACCCTTCAATGATCAGTTCTGATCTTGAATGAAAAGCAAAAGATGCATTTTATCCCCCAGTCTGCAGAAAAAGAGGTGGTGTGCTGAAGAACATGTTGTGAAAACTTTGGCAAGACTAAAGGATACCCTCAATAAAAAAAAAAAAAACCTGTGAGGCAGACAGAAAAGACCTCATTCTGAATCCCTCTTTGATTAGTAGTTGTTTATCTTGCATTTCTTTTTCGTGTGCTCATGTCAGGGGCTACAAAGCCCATTTATTCCTCGCTCCATAGTAGGGATCACACAATCTCCCATTCTAGTCCTCTCTTTCAGCTGGTGGGCTAGTGACAGACACATAACATTTCTTCACCATGTACCATCTTCTCTGTTATCTATATAGTTTTGATCTGGTAGACCATATGACTTCATGTAAAAAAAAATACATTGGGATGCCAATAAATGTACAAATTTGTAAAATACTTTCATATTAGAGGCTGAAAGATTGTGTGTATTTATATTTAGAATTATTGCTAATTTTTTCAATATATAGAAGTCATATTTTGATCAATATTCTTCAAACTGATATAAGTTGGGAAATTTTACAAAGGGTCATGTTCTTCCTACATCTTTTTAAATATTTAGCCTTCCCACAGACATTCATGACAAAGACACATTTCTTTTATTGTATAAGTTTCAACCAACTGACTACTAGTCTTTTGCTAAAAGACCTTAAGAGTTGTTTCTTGGGCAAAGAAGTCAATTGAGCCCCCAAATTCCTATCCAAATAAGTTTTATAGTACTAGGGTCTATTTCTAAGAGCACAAGCACTGATGAGAAATATGATCTTGGTTAGTACTTTCATTCTCAATTTCCTCTTCTGGAGAGTGAGGAGTTAGTTAAAATATTCTCTGAGGTTCCTTCTAGCAATATTCTATAATATAATGTTCCTACTTCTAATATTTTTATCTTTTTTTGCTTGCAATGTGAGATATTTCGGTATCCCGAGACTTAAAGTTTGGCACTTTGTAAGTGCAGTTTATGTATATTTTTAAGAACAGGAAAAAAAAAGTATTAAAAATCCAAAACTTATCTCTTACCAGCTAATTCAGGATTCTACTATAAATTCATATTTGAAAAAATTCACAATACTATATAAAAAAAGTTCCTGTCGGAAATGACTGTGTCAGTTTGGGCTCAAAGGCTCATTTTGATTGTGAAAACACCAAGCAGAAGTTGCACTGTGGTAACAGTATTTTTTATCTTAGTAGCCAACAACCATTTGGTAAATGCATAATATCATTTCCTTAAACAACCCAGAGCAAAATTGGATTTCAATTCCTCAGTGCTACATGTTTGTTGAAGAAGTGCTGAGCACGGCTTCTTACTTTTTCCTCCTTTTGGAACATTGTGGGGTAAACAGTTTTGTGATCTCCATGTGTAATAATGAAGGATTCAGATTCTGCAAGAAAACTTTTTCAGCGTCCAACTGAGAAGTCTCTTAACTTTGTGGAAAGAAGATGGAGAAACCTTTGGTTTTCTTTTCTCAACTAAATATGTCAGAACCAAAGGAAAAAACTTTCTGCAAGGTGATTCACGCAATGGGGAAAGAAGCATTAAATAAAGAAATAAAAAACAGGTAATATATATATTTTAGATAACTGGTAGATATGAATTTATACCACAGTTATATTGAAATATTCTTATTTGAAATGTACAGCTGTGACTATATTAATTGTGATGTTGAGGTAGAAAATAGCATAAAGTATTCCTATATTAAGGGAATACTAATATTTTATGAAAATGTGAAAAAAAGTAAGTGACACATATAGGGCTCCAAAAGAAAAGTTTTAATGAAACATGATCCCATGAAACTTACAGAATGAACACTAATGGAGGATGAGGTCATATTCCCCTCCCTCATATTTATTAAATAAAAAGATGATAGCTTCCTTGGTAAACTGGATTTCAATACTTTTATTATTACTAGTGTGATCTTTGTTGTTTTGCTGTTTATTTACCTTAATTTTGTCAAAAATTAAAAAGATCATGGTCATTAGCCTTAAAAATTTTTCAACTGAGCAATACTTTTCTGTTTGTGGGATGGAAAAAAAAACATCATGAATGGCGGAAGTAATGACCCCTAAGTGTATTAGTAGATAGAAAATGAAGTTTGATTATTTTTATTCATTTTTAAAGTAGGTTATATTCTATTATAGAGGTAAAGAAAAGAGAAATAGACTGAGCCTTCTTCTGCAGAAACCTGAATTCCATGAAGATGTCAACCCTGGTAGATCAGAGAACTTGGCCAAAGGTGCAAGGTCAGTATTTTTGTTTTTAAGTCCATTCCAAAAGTGATTTTGAACTTACATTGATATTAGATGTCTATTATATTTTTTTATTTAAAATTAAGAATTTCTGTATTGTTTTAGTAATTGGACTGTTTTTTGGGGGAAAGAGTAAGAAGGTAGATATGATTATTTCAATAAGCTACAAATATTTTTAAATGCAACCAAAAAGTAAAATGTCAGAACACAAAGGTTTTATTTGGAACTAAATTAATATCACTGTATACATTTTTGTTAGTTGACATTTAAACCTTGTATTGTTTTCCATATCTTGAATTTTGCCTTTTGATTTTTTAAACTTTTGAAAAAATAACAGGCCTCATGATTCTGTATAGTAACTAAAAAGGAAGACAACTGTCCTCAAATGTTTGAACATTTTGTCCTTATTTTTAGCATCAGGTAGTCAAAAACATGTGTGTCTTGCTTACTTTAAGTTTTACTAAAAGTTTTATGAAAAATACCGTGACTATAAAAATAGACCTTATTAATCTCTTTTAGTTATTAAAATAATACCAATAAAAGGCATGCTATTTCATAGAATTATAAACACTATACTATTATGATGTTAATTAGATAAAAATAATGTATCTAACTCTCTAATTTGTCATAATCCTTTAAATTATTTTAATAAGAAATTGAAAATAAGAAATTAAAGATATTGGTAATAATTTGTCGTTCTTCTGAGTCTACTACAAAAGCTTCCTCTCCCCTTAACAAAAAACAAATCAGACTCACAAAGAGGCAGTTTATTATGATAACCCACTTCAAAGAGAATGCTACCTAATTTGGCATAGCAAAAATATTGCTTATTTAGGGGTCAGCATTTCAAAAGGTGGATGACCCAATTTATTTGCTGTTCAACCCTACTCCTAGCTAATTGCTCTTTAAAGACCCCAATGATGCAAACAACCTTTGAAAACATTTTATATAGAGATTTTTAATTTAAAAGATTGCCTTTTTTTACAGTCAATGTCAAAAGAAATTACACCAAATGTTTTTTGAGGACTCCAGTGGAAAGAGGGCTTCCATTATAAAATAATCTAATCAGACACATTCTAAAACAAGACAAAGGGAGTTCTCTAGCAGATAGCATATGTAAGTCAATCACCATGAGGTTACTAAATGTGCATTTCATCAAAAAGCATTTCATTTCTTGAACAGTGTCTCCCCTGAAGAAGCAGTGAAATGGGGTGAATCCTTTGATAAACTGCTTTCCCATAAAGGTTAGTAGCATTTTTTCCTAACTAAAGACTATTATTCCATAATGGAAAGTGATGTAAAGTATGTGTGTAATTAAACAGATATGGCAGTTATCTAAATTAAGTATGATGGGTCATTTAGAGCACTGTGAGTTTCTGATCTATTGTAGAGACTAAAAACAATACTGTTGAGTGCTGAAACAAAGTATTGATTTATTACTTTTAAGTGTTCTCTTCCATTTAAAGTGTATCAAGATGGTAGCAATATTGATGTCACCTTTATCCATGAATATGAAAAAAGGTAACAAGAAATAATTAAAAACTGTTCTGCCTTGAATAATGAGATGATTCTTTTTGTGAAGTAGGTTTCCCAAAGTCATAATGCAAGAAATTTCTAAAGTTGCACTGGGATTTTAGTGAGTGGTCTTAATCATAAAAGACTATACAATGAAATTAGTTGAAGTTTATAAAACTGTGTTAATATCAATAAAGCAATGGCTTTTAAAATGTTCAGTGTATTAACTTCTCTCTCACACATCAATCTTCCATTTAAAAAAAATAACATAATTTAAAGGACAATTTAGAAGAAATAGAGAATATTACCTAAGGATGGAAATAGATGGGATTACTAGAATGTTGAGCAAGGAATAATGTCTGACAGTAACTGGGAGTTACTATGTATGTTACTATATATGATATACAATATGGGAAAGGCTATGTAATAATAAGAAAAGAGGGAAGTACTGAAAGTGTTAGAAACATTTAGAAAGGGAACAAGTTAAGAAAATTTATCTTTGTTTCCCAAGTTTTACTCTAACTCAGCAATTTGATAATGAAGTATTGGTAATTTGCATTCCCTTTTTATATGGATCATTAGATCTGATAATTTTTTTGAGGATAAAGTGATAGGGGGTGAAAAAATGAGTAGCATCATCAGCTTACATGCATGTAACATTTGAAGGTTTGCAATATCTACGTATACTGATAGTACCTACCTTACAACAACCCTATGAAGCAGATACCATAGGTATAATTTCATTTTCTTCCCACTTGCCCCTATTTTATAGGTGAGGAAACTGAG